GTTGGCCATTTTGAATCTAATCTGAAAAACAAAATTATTTGCATCAAGGTCCCACAATGTCTAATGTATACACCAAGTTTGAACAAAATCCATCTGTAAACAGCCTAGAAATGCTTGATTTTTATGATTTTTTAGCACAAAACAGGCCACCATTCGGCCATCTTGAATCAGATTGTAAAACAAAATTATTTCCATCAAGGTCCCACAATGTCTAATGTATACACCAAGTTTGAACAAAATCCATCTGTAAACAGCCGAAAAATGCTTGATTTTGATGATTTTTTAGCACAAAAATGGCCACCATTCAGCCATCTTGAATCAGATCGTGAAACAAATTGACGTGCATATGTATAATATCATGTATGATGTATGTGTGAAGTTTGATTGTGATTGGTCCAGGCATTTCTAAGATACAGGTCTGGACGCACGCACACACGCACGCACGCACACACAGAGGTCAAAACATAAGTCCCCGTTTTCGGACTGCGTCAGAACGGGGACTAAACACGCATGGACATGTACTATCTTTATTGACATTTGCCCACTTTCTTTTCTCATACGCAAGACCTAGAGTGTATGTCCTTGCTTTGAATTTAAGCTGGGCACCTTTATAATTTTCAACTGATTTTAAATATTTTTCACAATGCTTGATCCCAGTTTTAAATTTCATGTAGTGGATCAGACTTGATTTGTTTGCAATGTTTTTTCTCCACTTATCTTCATCAAATTTTTCCAGAGCTTTTTTAATTTTCTGCTGACTAAAGTGTACAACTTGATGTTCATCTAGATCTACACTTTTTATGATATCATGAATACATTTTGGCCAGTTCCAGGAGATTCTGAAAGTTGTGTTGTTTTTGTTATTTTCATCATTTTGATCATTCAAAACATAAATTAAAAATAACTTTCCGCCATCTGGAATCTGACATGTCACACAATCTTTGGTAATATTTTAGTTTCATGATATCTAATCTATATCTCATTGTGAGCAACCCCAAATCACCAAGTACAGCATCATTTGCAGTATTTCTGCATGCACCCAGAATGAATTTTCCTGTCATATGCTGCTTTTTTTCTAAACTCTCCATATTTGTCCCACTATTAGTATCAGGATTTCCCCATAGTGACAACCCATAGTCTACTCCATTAATATTTCCATTACCACAAAGTATTACTTTCATAACTGGAAATAAGGCATTAAATATTTCTATTATTTTTGTACAGTGGGTGTGGTCGGAAAAGTTACGTGTAAATCGGTAGCCTAAATATTTGTACTCAGCAGCTTCTTTTATTTTTGATTTTCCAATAGACCACTCTCTATGTTTGTCAACTCTTTTGTTTGTGATTAGGACATTAGACTTGTCTTCATTAACTGCCATTTTCCATAAATTACAAAATTAGCATTCTACCGTTACCACAATGGGTTGCACTGTATGAAAAAATTGGAAGAGGCAGAGAAACACTGGAAATGATCATATGCCATTGATGTCTGCAAGCTGCTCAAGCAAGATGTCTTTTTAAACATCAGCATATTTCTTATATAATTCATATATATAAGTAAGAAATTAAGAAATGTCCAAATATATTGAACAAGGAATAAATATCATTGTAAATGAAATGTACTTGCAATAAATGCACCAGTGAAACAATTTTGAGAACAATTGTACATTATTGTATGTGGCAGAATCTTATCCTGTATAATTTACAAGGGTCTCTCAATTTAATGACACAATTGATAAACTATGTCCCTCTGTCGATAAACCTCAGGTTGAGTGGTCTGTCTGGTATCTGTAGCATTGTCATTGTAGCTTCCACATCAGTTGTGCTTTCCAAGATGTACTTTTGTGAAATCTGGTGTAAAAAACAAATATATCAATAATTGTAAATAACACGAAAAACATAATATTTCATTAAAAGACTTAAATCAATTGTCTGAGCACACAGTATATTTTTCTCACTAAATAATTAGACTGAACATACCCTGGCCAAAGCAAGATGAATTTCCAGCTCAGCAAGTCTCTTTCCTGTAAAAGTAAATTCAACATAACATAAACACATGACTAAAAATGAAAGCAAGTTTCCTATTGGTGCAATTTAATATATTCGATTGCTTTCGCATACATTTCTAGTTTCTTACCAATACACATTCTTGGTCCAAAACCAAAAGGTAACAATTTGAAACCATTGAACGATTCATTCTCTTCTCTCAACCATCTTTCTGGTTTGAATTTGTCAGGATCATCAAAGTACTGTGGATCTCTAGCTACCATCCATATTGCCATATTCAGAGCAGTCTACACAAATAATAAGAATCACATGCAGTTTATTTTAGTAATATCAAAATGTGAGACTCAGAGTTGTGATTCACTGCTACATTAAATCACACACATATTTCAATGTATGAATATTGATAATCATTATTATTATACATCTGTCACCGTAATGCCAGTTACAGCGTGCCATAATTTTGCGGTATTGCACTCGGTATTTTCATCCTATCATACTAGGAAATGCAAATTCCAAATATGAAATGATTACGTGCATAGGCATCCTCTAATAATAAAGACAAACATGGCAGCCCCAAGCTAGGGTACTTTATTTGAAATTTCAATTGCACATTTCATTCACAAAAAATGCATGGACAAGTAATAAACAATCAGTTAATCAGTTAACATCAATAAGATGTATAATAATATGAGGTTATTACGAGGATACTACAAAGTATGCAAAATATGTCTTTCAAATATGGGAAACTGTAGGTATATATCCCAGCAACCCTTGTTTAAATATGGGACCAGATAGTGGAGTTCCGGCAGACCGTTCTTAAAGAAACGTAAACAGCTTTATCGGTGTCATCATTGTCGGACACTTTCGCTTGTTTTTCTGTTCAGTCCCGCCTCTTGGTCAACTTTGAAAACAAATTTACTTTTCATTTTTTACCCACCCACGAATAGTGGGCTCAACCACGTGCAACCCTTAACTTGGTTTGACACGGTCGATCGCCGTGAGTTTATGGCGTACGAACAGGCTGTATCGCTTTCGCTTTGACATGCTGCTCAATTGAGAAATAGAGATCAGAATTCTATGAATTCAACTCATTGTAGCGAGTTTT